ATGCCATAGTGAACCCCCAGAGGAAAAAGAAGCAGGATAAAAATTCAATAAATATTGAATGTCCCCAAAACAAATTTTACAGGAAAAATCACAATACTTTGAGAAACCATAATATTTTTGGCTGATTGGGATAGAAGACTGCTTTCTTTTTTCTAGATAAATACCCTGTAAGCACTCCTCTTTATTAAGGTAATGTAGGCTAAAGTTTTGGGCTGAAAATAAGGATGGTTGGATGGAAGGAAGGAAGGAAGGAAGGAAGGAAGGAAGGAAGGAAGGAAGGAAGGAAGGAAGGAAGGAAGGAAGGAGTCTAAAGCAGAACTAAAACAATCTTCTGGTTTCCAGTCTGGTACTTTAACTACTAGACCTCTCAGTTGCATGGATAGACACACACACACACACACCACACACAATTTTTAACTATAGTAAATAAGATTAGAATGCTCAGCTAATCAGTTTATTGTCTAGATGCTAACTACAAGTGGGTAGGGATCATCAATTCTTATTTTGCATGTATAAGTTGTTTACAGCCTTCCAACACACAAACATTTGAGCATATGCATGTAAAATATTCATTTCTGGACATACTTTATATGCCTGAATTATATATTGCATCGTTTTGACCTTGATTTGGAGATGAAGCAAAAGTGTGTTTGAGACTGCTAAATTATTCAGGAGACATTTCCTTCTCTTCAACAAGATCAAGCATCTTTTGGTCTTTATAGCAAGATTGTCACTAGATTATTCAGAGACAGGAACTTTTTATTTTAAATATAAAATAGGACTATCTAGCATATCTAGTTCAAATCTTTACTTGGATATGTTTCCTGAGTAACCTTGAGCCAGTTACTAAGGTACCAGCCTATTATTTTATGAGGAGGATAAAATGGGATGAAATGTGGGGGATAAAGGCATGTATGCAATGACTGGAGTGATTCTCCATATATTATTGAACTACATTCAGCATTACAAATAGATACTATGAGTTTCACAGAGCTGCAGGATTTCAAAGGAATAGTTTTACTGTAGTTTCAAATGCAACACAGCTGAGCCAGAAATAAACTGGCTCAATTCTCAAATATGCCATTATTGTGAGATAAGAATAGTCGAGAGTTGCTTTCCAATCGCTGGAGAACCCATGGGCGAAAAAGGTTTTCAGAGTCATGGTTTATTATTATCTACAGAACCACAGATTCACGTACCACTGACAAATGCCATCTTAAGCTTAATGGATGAAACACAAAGTATAATTAACTGGTCAGTCAAATTAGGAGTAATTTAGATATATATCTTCTATAATAGTTTAAAGCAGCTTCTACGGGGATCTCCTTTCCTTTTATTTACTGAATAACCTCAATTGTCCTATATTATATAGAAGATAGTTATCTGAACATTTGTTCAGCTAAAATAAGATTTAAAGGTAAAGAAATATATTAATAGTGAGAATTACACCCTGAACAGATTGTTATTTTTGGATTAATACCTTAAGTTTGGGTATTTGGAGTTGAGAGTGATTTGTGAAGGAAACATGATGAACAATGGTATTCTGTACATTTCCACACCTAATGTTGTACTTCTGATTATAATCTAGCCAAATGTTGAGGATATGGGAAAGATTCATAAAGATAATACTCAGATATAGGCAATGTCCTTTTTGAATGGAACCCATTTTGTCCTACAAAGTACTTTTGTTTAATCCACATGCTGCATCCTGAATTGCAGCAACAGAATCCCTAGCTTTCACATCCCAGTACAGCACTTAAAACATTGTTTTTTTTCAGTTAAGGAAAACAATAGGGAGTACTGTGATCATAAATAAACATTTATGCAGAAATGTTTCCTTATTGTTTTCTGCAGTTAGTCTTTAACTGTGGTTAATACATCAGGGTTGGGCCTCTAATTGTGAGGATTGTATCATAAAAATAGATCTCAATTTATTATTAAAGCAAAGGTTAAAACTAATGCAATGAATTCTTAAAAGGAAAAAAAAGCATTGGTGACTTATTCATTAGGAAAGATGCCATAGTTTAGTAGTAGAGCACATGCTTTGCATGCAAAAAGTCCGAGGCTCAGTTCCTGGAAAGATTCTTGTCTGAAAATTTAAATAGTTACTGTTGGGTTATTAATGATCTGATTCAGCACAAGAGACGTTCCTATGGATACTGGGTTTTATGCTATTGACCATGATTGCAAAATAACAGGAGGCTCTCCAATGCAAGCTCTAATGCAGGGCTAGTCAGCTGTTCCAGAGGATGCATTTCTATTTCCAAAGTTATTTTTAGTCTTGAGGACTGCAAGGAGCTTTGTTAGTGATGTGAAGGTATCACTAAAGAGCACAGAATTAACATTTTAACAGAAAAGCAGATACATGAAGTCTCCTGGAAATGCAACAGATTTATGTTACAGCTTACCAACTGTTTTTTAGAGAAAAAAATAATACCATTAAAAAATCACCATTTGTCATTGTATTTACCCAGTGTGATTATGGAGCTCTGGAGACTGCAAAAATCGGAGTGGAGATCACAAATTGACTTCTCCTTCCACCTATATCCTGATAGAGCTTCATAGTACTGATCAGAAGCATTATCTTCTTTTAAGTGGCTTCCGTAGATTTCAATTTTGAGATGAGCAAAACTTCTTAGTGATTCAAGCCCAATATGTTTAGACATGCAAGTCTTTAAAGTAGGCATCTAAACTGCTTCCATTTGATCCTAGCCTCACTAGCAATGTTTCTTTTTCAAATCACTACTAGAAAAAGATTGTGATGGTTTTTGAAAGAAGATTAGGTTCTTTTTAAAAACAAAATTGTATTTGATATCACAAACTAGAGATTTCAGCTCCCTTCTTTATCAAGGTGATGATTAATTTGGTGCACCCAAAACACCATCTAGAATGGTTTGTGCTATATAAAGTATTAGATGTTAACAATTGAAGAAAAAAATTAAGCTGTGCCAATTTTTAGATCATTTTATTAACTCTGAAAGAATCAGTTGTCCTATCATGTGAATCTGCAACACTCTCAGGTTGTTTTTGCATTACAGTTTAATTTTGGGGCATGAGTTGTGCTTATTAAGGGAACATGGTCTCCCCCGCCCCAAATCAATTCATTAAAGTAACTTTTGTTAAACTGCTTTTTAAAGCAGCCGCATCTTTTCTTAGCCTCATACACAAGCTAAAAGAAGACATGTATTATCAATTCTGAATCAGAGAGAGATGCTGTGCTTGCACTTGTTCAAGAATTGTGAAGTATGCATAGCCATACTGTCTGCAATGCTGAGAATGGAGCTAGCTAGTGAAAACTTTGGAGGTACAAAGCTGTATTAATAGAATGTTGTTACAGCTAATACGCTAGAAGCAATGGGAGAGAGGGTATGCATTTGACAATAGTCTTGACAAATGCAGAACAGGTTGTGTAGCTGCTAACTGTAGTATATAAAGAAGAACATTGGTATATTTAACCTTCCCCATTTTCTATATTTTAACTTCAAAAAATTTATCCCAGTATTACCCACAGGAATGTGCATTTAATTTGGAAGAACTTCTTGAGGAGAGCAGTACTACCAACTATTGTTTAGAAAGAAGAAATTCTAAAAAAGAAACCCCCCCAAACAATAAACAAAACTCGGAACTTTGCTCTTATATATGACAACAGCAGCAAGCCTTATCTATGTCCAAAGATGGAAGGACTAATTTCATGCAAGATTGGATGGTGAAATTAATGGAGTTGGTGGAAATGACAAAATTGACTGCTTGTATTAAAGCTTTATCTAGATTAGTTTCTACTTGGAAATCACGTTTGGATTTATTTATTTTTTTGCTTGAAACTGAAATGAAAATTTACCTTTGAGTTTTGATTATTAGACTTGTTTATATCGATAGTATTATTTTTCATGGTTTATTGCAGTTTAAAGTGTCAATTGATTTTTAGGTTTTTATCTGTATCAAAGAAAACCAAAAGTTAATTTTTGCCATATCTTTTTTCACCTTTTTGTCCACATTCCTCAATTTTGCTTTTTCACTTTTCCTCCCACTTTCTTTTTATTTCTTATTTCTTTGCTTTTTTATTTTGCACTTGAAATTTAATAGGATTTTGGCAAAAACATTAATGAAGAAATTTTTTGGGAGAAAATGCAATGCTCCAGCAGTAAAATCCTGTACTCTCCATTGCTCTGTCTTAAAATTGCTTTTCTTTTAAACAAATTACGCTGAGTTTCCCATACATAATTTGCTCCTTAATTAAAGGAGTATCCAGCTTTGTTGACATTACAGTCCAGTGTTTGATAAAGTGTATATGATAGCATTTTAGATAGAAGCAACATAGTTTAATGTAATAGGTATTGCTTTTGTCTGGGCTTTTCCTTCCAAATGCAAAAAAAGCTTGTTTTAATTTTAACAGTGCATAATCTCAACAGTTTAATGCAAACATCAAATTGCACTGCAGATTAAAAACTATTTATTGGTTTTAATATCAGAGACGTCACAAGGCTGCAGTATTAAACAGGGGAATAAACTCCAATAAATATAGGTAGACCTATATAAACATGCATAAGATTATACTATAATAACCATTTACAGATAGAGGCTGTTTGGAACAATCTCAAGATTAGCTGATTAATGGAATATTCAGAATCCTTGGATGTATGACAGTAAAGGTCTCCAAAGATACACTTCTTTTTCTTAAGGAGAAAATGTGAATGATTATTACATGGATGGTGAACACACTATTCCTAATGTTTGCACTTTAAAATATATGCACATTTCTCCTTGTCATTTTCTCTTTTTCAGCTAATTCAGCCTTTCTTAATCAAATATTTCTTTCCAGGTGCAATGAGACTATAAAGTTTTGAAATCTTGTAACTACAATTCTAACATACCTGGAAGGTACCAGGTTGGAAAAGTGTGTATGCATAAGAATTTACTCCGTGAGAAATGTATGAAATTGGTATAAAAATGTCACAAGAGAGCTATTTAACATAACTTTTTTTTTCTTTTTGGCTTGGCAGGGAGACCCCATTCCTGAAGAAATATATGAATTGCTGCGTGACAGCTCGGTGCGCTCCATCAGAGACCTCCAGCAGGTCCTGCAGATAGAATCCGTAGGTAAATTTCCACACCAAATGTTCCTCTTTAATAAATCTCAACAGATATAACAGTAAAGCAAATGCATTTGTATACCACCTGAGAACTGCCATTGTGAGCTATGTGTTTTCTAGATTCAGGTTACACAAAATAAAACCATAGGTTGCATCTGGGTTAAGAAGCTCCTCCCCCCCCCCCGCCTCCAAATGATACATGGCAGTTCACCCATAGAATAATTCTATAGCATATTTTAGTGTTTGGCTTGAACAGAGTTTAACATGCAGTTCATAATGTAACAGGGGCACATTACTTGCAAATAGGTTTTAATAATGTTTATTATTTTCTAATCAGTCTGTAATGATTCCTGGTGTTTGGGGGAAAAAATGAGACTGTGGTGTTATAATCTTCTGTGCTTGAAATCAGACATCAGTCATCCATTATTCATTTCCCTGGCTTTTGATTTTCAGTCTATATAAAAGAAAAAAGGAATGACATCAGGTAATGAGAGGAGAGTTCATGTTTTGTTTTACAGTGGTGACTGGACAAGGCTGGAGAGAGAGTTGGGGATCCCTGTCTCAGAATTGAGGTCACACAGACCAGATTGAATAGGCTTTGGCATGTGCAGGAATGTGAGCACGCGTCATGGCCATTGGGTTGGCCCTGGAATGTATTTATAAACATTTTCTTCACAGATTCCATTCTGATCCAACCTCTGCTCCCGCCTGTCCCCTCCCCACCCCCTGCCTTCTCTCTTATGTTTGTCTATTGGTAGCTTTGTAATCTTTGCCGAGACACTATCTACGGGGGAACAGAATTTCCTGTCTTTGTTTCCGATGCCAGTTGGACCACTGGCACGTTCTCAAAAGCATTCCCGCTCCCTTTCAAAATGCCTGTAAGGGGAGGAGGGAAAAAAGAGGGAGGGCACCAGCTGTGCTCTGCTATTGTTTCCCTTAAAGTTGCTTGGCTTCTCCACCCGCCTGTCCCGGCTACACAAGCCATACAATAGGGTGCCTTCCAAAATTAGCAGCACTGGCTTTTCCACAGCTGGGCCTGTTGCCCTGGTCAGCAGTAGCTTTACTGCCCTATCTGGAAAGACACCCTTGGGGGAAGGGTGAGGTTAACGGGAGATCTCTGTTTTTCAATAGATGATTTGTTTCAAGTCAACAGCATGGCTATTTTTTCCCTTGTCTGTTTAACCTTTGCAAAAATACAGCCCCCACCCTGCCCTGATAAAATTCCAGAAAATGGGGGATGGTTGGAAGAAGATGGGAAGATCCAATTAAATTCAGTGGCATGGATTAGTGATAAAGCTTTGATGTCATGATTCATCTTGCTCTTTCTTTTGGGAGTTTTTTTTTTTTAAGGAACAATGAATCTGGGAGTAAAAGCCTTTTAGAATATTATAGAATCAAATTTTATATAGCTGGGTGCTCAATCTCCAATATATCGAGTCTTGATTTCTGCAGAATCTGATTTAGAAAACCTGAGGCTTTATTTCTTTTAGCCTTAAACACAGAACTCAGTCAGCTGCTTGTAGGAACTTTGCCTTTGTTCTTTTTTCTTATAGGCTTTCTATTACTTATTTCTTACATTCAGAATTATTCCCCAGAAATAAAATCTGCCCTGCTTTACTCTAAGTAGTTCATAAATGAAAAGCCTGCAACTGTGTAAGAACTATCTTCAAATACTGCCATTGACTTTGGAATCTGGAGGGGTTTGTTGACTCCAAGGAAGCTCTGGCTGATGTGATGGGAATTGCTTTGTTCAGCATTTCCTATGGGAAAATGTTAGAGAATGTTTATAAAGAAAGCTGGCAACTTTATCTTTTACCCATCTCCCCCCCCCCCCAGAAGACCCAATTGGCTAAAACTGAATACATCCTCCGTAGGAGGGACAGAACTATTATACTTACCTACATCTTCACTTTGGAAGGATAAAATTACAAAAGCCTGAGATCTTGAAGTGTCTCTACTAATTTGTCAAAGTACAGACCTGAACAGATGAATAAATAGCTGGATTTGTTCAAAGGCAACTGAAATCAGTCAAATAGCTTATTTTACCATTTGGTTTTATTAATATTTACAATTTTGTGTGTTTTTTTTTAAATAAAAAAATAACTAAAACATGCCCAATGCAAGCAACACTTTATTACGGGCAAATGTTGATAATCTAAAGAAAAATGTTATTATTAAAATGATTTATTGGGTATAAAATAAATATAATGTAATAGGAAATATGATGTAACCTGAGGATATCAGGAAATAAACACAGAATGTAGAGAAATATATTGTAAAATTTATACCAAATTAATTTGCTGTGCTATTTATTACCAACTTCAATTGAAATGGTCTTGTTAAGCACCACATTATCTGAACTTGAAATAAACTGTCAAATAGTTTCCACTGTGGCTATTAAGGGATATGATAAGAACTGCAGATTTTGAGGTTCACTGCCACAATTTCAGATTGCCAGAATTTGGCTTCTACTACAGAATTATAGTCTCATTTTGTAGCTGAAAAACAAAATCCAAAACATACATTCTTATTTTTCTCCTTGCTTAGAAATACATTTTGGGTCATATTGGAATGCATTACTGCATTTTCTCTGCAGTCTCCAGGTATATCATTGCTTATCACTTATAATTCCTTCTTACAGGGGAAAATACCTGTACATTTTCACCTTCTTATTTCAAAATACCTATGCTGAATAATCATTATATATTTTATTTTATATAATATATCTTGAGAAGAATTAAGAAGGTAGGTAGAGTTACAGGTTATAGAATTTTATTGAGTTTATTATTTTAGCACCATATTGCCTGTAATACTTCTTGGCCTTCTTAATAGGTATAATTATAGTATTTTGCTAAATTGCAATCAGTCATTTCATTCTTCATTATTTTGTGCAGTATTTGCTGTAGTGATGCAACCTATATATTAATTTACTTAATGACATTGGTTTTTTTTTCTCTTTTTGCAGATGAAGATACCTCTAGTTCATACATGAATTTTACCCAGATGCATGCTGGTGAAAATCTTGTTCCTTTGTCCCGTGGAAGACGAAGTTTAGGTAAGCTGTAGACATGCTGGCTACTATATTTCAACAAGTATGGGATTAGATTTAGTCCAGAAATACTTAAGTTTTAGCACATTTAAACCAGCCCTATCTTCTACCAAACCAAATAAAGTCTTCTTTACAGTTTCAATTTTTTAAATCTGTTTTTCTGCCAGTTCAGACATCAGAATATTGGTTAATTACATGCATTTAAAAGAATCTTAGATTCTGCAAATAGAAGATCATAACCCTTTAACCAATCAACTAATTAAAATAGTTTTTTTTAAGGGAACAGAATAATAAATTTGGTTATAATGGAGGGATATGTAAGATAATTGGTAAATAACTAAGATATATATTTGGTGAAATATTTTCACCTTCTGCCCAATAGAAAACTTACAAAGACTCCTCTAACAACTTCAAAATATATAGCAGAAATGCCCCCAAACTGAATAAAATGAGACACAGTAAAGCACACAGTAAGGAAAACAGTGATGAGTTTTAAAGTTGATTTCATCAGGAATTTTTGTTCTGAATTTTTTTAGGTGGAGCAGAACCTATTGAGCCAGCAGTAATTGCTGAGTGCAAGACACGCTCTGAAGTCTTTGAAATCTCCCGGAGCATGGTGGATTCAACAAATGCCAATTTTCTTGTGTGGCCACCCTGTGTAGAAGTGCAACGGTGCACAGGCTGTTGCAATACCCGAGCAATGCAATGTCGTCCCACACAGGTTCGGGTGCGACATATCCAGGTATACAGATATCTCTGTTCTTCTCTCCCAGTTTTTCAATCTTCTTTGAATCTTACTTTATCTTATTTTAAAGTTTATTAAGTACAATAAACCTATCTGACATTTTTTGCACCATGCCTAAATTATCTTCTCGTGTTGGAACAACTTTGGCTTTAATGGTTATGAATGTTTCTTGAATAAGATAGAGGCAGTGCTAAACTTACAACCAGAACGGGTGTTGGAATCTCAGTTGTTGCAAAATAGTTGTTAAGCGAGATGTCATGGAATCGCTTCACTCAACATCCACTATCTTGATATTTTTAGTTGTGGTTGTTAAGCAAGAATTGCCAGTCATGAAACAATCAAAGTCCTAAGTAAGGAGTGCAGGGGTTCCTCAGACAGTTGGGGGAGGCCCAGTATAGGCTTCATGCAAATTGAAGGGTACTGCACTGCAGCACAAAGCTGCAGCTGCCCAGAAAACCTCAGCAGCCCACCTAGACTACCAACCCAGTGCAAAGTTTCCGCAACCCAGAATATCTTAGCCATCCACCCAACTCACCAACATGGCACAGAGTTGCCACGACCTGGGAAGCCTTCGCTGTCTACCCGGTCCTCAGCACTTATGACTGCAGGGGTGTTGCAGTTTCCTCAATCCACCTGTCTACCCCATGATCTATGCCCTTTTGGTCACCCTGCATAGTGGCACTCACTGTCAGCAGCACTGCACAGGGGCTGCAGTAAAGGCCTGGGGCCCTCAGCAATCTTAGCCAACTGCCACTTCTCCCAGGTCTCGAGTTTTGGTCTAGCTCCCATCTCCACTGAGAAATCCTCAAGCCTCAAGCACCACAGCTCAGCCAGCCATGGCAACATCATTCTGTCAAGCCCCAATTACCCCCACCATCCTGAACTCCAAGGGATCTGTTTTACGTCACTCATTTTCAGTCATTTTCTCCCACTGTTGACAACAGGTCTCTAAGCCACCTCACACCAGTCTCCATGTTAGTATCTGGGTAGGTAGAAGTTGTCCTCCTGATGGCCTATGTACAGGTAGAGGATGACACTGTGTGTTGCTGCCTTCAAGAAATGGACAGTAGGGTCAAGCTGATCATGCAGATCAATCCTTCCTCCATAGAAACAGCTTTGTACCTGAAAGTGCTCTAATAGTACTTAAAGAATCTCATTATGAATTAGGGATTTGGTTATATGAATATAGCAAAAATGTTTTAGTTTGCATTTTGTCACAACAGGTATATCCGTCATAATTTATGCCTACTGGAGTTGAATGGACAATGAATTTAAATAGTAAAGTAACATAAAATAACATAAAATAAAATAAGGTACACAAATTATAGCAAAATATTTATTTTTGTAATAATGTTCTTTGACAGCCTTTGCTTCCTCATATTGAATCAAAAGATCACCATTAGTGCAAAATTTAATCCTGTCATAAACAGTTGTCTCAAAGATATATATATATATATATATATATATATATATATATATATATATAT